CCCAATTTTAATTTATATTTTTTCAAAAGCACGTTTGTAGAAAAACATAATAAATATTCAAAACATCAGTACCTTGGCGTGTCACAACTTCTAAATCAAATATTTTAGTGGTTTTATTTTAAAATATATTTAATTTATCTTAAATTTTTCAATTTCACTACAAACTATAAAACATTAAATAATGTATTTTTCATATTTTATCATATCAGTTCTGTGCACATGTCCAATGTTAAAATTCAAGATTCCTGCGAAATATTGAAGTTTAAACTTCAAGTCCTTGTTTTAACAAGTGTTGGTAAAAAATTACCTACAGAGCCCGCCCTTTGCACAACAGTCATTTTGAAAACAATGCAAGCGGCGAAGTTGTAGTGAATGCACGTATAGTTCCAGTCAAAATTTCAGTACTGTGGTGAGTAGTTATTTTCTTACGTAAATATATTTCAATGTAATTTAAATAAGGCTATATGTGATTTGTTGATAAGTATACTTATGCTATAACATCCACTGATAAAAAATATTAGTAAAATACTTAATTCCGAATTATAATCTCAAAGTTGTATCGCATTCATCAGTAGCCAGTCGTCAGTTCCATGTTCGATGTTTCGGTTATCTATTTTTCGCAAACCTCAGTTTAAATTCTGCTTGCGCAGAACTTGTTTATTTAATGTCATTATAAAGTCATATAAATTTGGCGTGGGTCCCATATCTAATAATTAAGATATCGGTATAACCAAAATCCACCAGCCGCCACTGATGTGTGGTATTATTTGATTTTAAGATATTTAATGTATAATATGCTCAAAGTTGAAATAAATCTTATATTTTCCAATAAATTATGTATTTAATTAGTACCCTGGTATACTCGTCACTTCCCTTGCATTCAAATTTAGAAAACAGATATTTCAGAAACTGTTTGAAAAAGTGACTGGCCCGGTCTGGAACAGTATATTTATTATATTATCTATGTTCTCATAACAAAATACTGTTTAATTTTCTCCGAAAACTATATAAACAAAATGAGGTCAAAAGTTGCCCAACTTTTGTAGAATCACCCATATATTTTTAATTAAATTGAAAAATTTACATCAAGTTCTTGTTATTTTTGTCAATTCTATATAATATTTTTTTTATTGAAGATAATATCATAATAGTTACAAGAAATTAAACAGTAAAAAATGTATAAATATCAGCAATAAATAGTAAGAAATGGTATAAATAATATAATATTATAAATAACAGCAATAAACAATAAAAAAATACATAAGGTTGGATTGTTTTAAGAATTAACATACATCCAAATAAATGTTTACTTTGTATGCAGAAATTTGTCATCAATAATAAAATACCAGATGGGAAACTGTTTCGATAAATTAATAGCTATTCGATTTTCTATCGTATTAATAAAAAAGCGATACGTCACAGTATTCCATTTCATTTATTTTTTCCACTGATAAGACGTGGCATGTGGCGGAACAAAATTTCAAAGCGAAATCCCAAGCAATGAAATAGACAACACATGAAAATTCTTATGCAATACGCAATGTTTTAGGGATTGACAACAAAATGTTTTCCAATTTAAATCATGGCATCAATTTCCTCGATCAATTTTAGGTACATGATAAATAAAACAGATTTAATATTTGTATTTTTTTTTATTAAATAAAAAATAGTACACCCTTTCAATACCAACTTCTAAAAGGGTCTATTTTCTGACAGGAAATTATTATATGTCAACAATGCAATTTATAAAAATGAAAAATACAGACGTTTGGTCTTTTAACTTGAAACTTTAAAATTTGTCTAAAACATTTTTTCATATTTGTAATAAAAGGGGATGTAATAAAAAAAATCATTTGTTATTATTTCTAATACAAATTTAGCTCAAAACAATATTTATTTTTCGAATTTTTATTAATTAGGTGCTCAAAATGGTGGCCTTCGACTTTAATACACTCAATAATTCGGATTTTAAATGAGTCTATACACAAGTAAGTAGCGTATTTGCTAGAATTTCGGCACAAGCATTTCTAATTCGCTTAATCATATTTTACGGGTAGTTGGTACTTGTTGATAAAGACTTTGAGATAGGAAATCAGGCGAAGTTAGATTAGTTGATCTAGCAGATAATTCTCGTGTGCTTATATGAGGATTAGCAGCAACGGATGCTAATACATTAATTTCAATATTTTCACCAGTGACTTTTGCTCGAAGAATTTTTTTTTCGGTTGAACATTTCCTTTTGTACTAAGCAGATATTTTTGTTTGCAAATGTTCGAACTAAATAAAACTTATTTTAGTTATTTCTAAGAGTTATTTTGTTTTTTGGACCCTAGGAAAAAAGTAGCCAATTGGGCCTTCCAGTCGTACTCTTTTTAGTCTCAAAAAATGTAAATGTATTCTGTATTAAATGAAATAATGTACAAAACTTTAACTTTAGGAAACTTAGACATTAGTAAAAATGTTGTGGTTTATTTTAAAAAAATCAGATTTAATTTAATAAGATTTTTATTTCCAATGAAAAAGTTATGTATCACTTTTATATTTTTATTGAAAAATTATTGTTGAATGGTATACAGAGAAGAAATCGAACAAAACTAATTTATTTAGCACAGCGCAATCTTTTACAAATATGAAAACATGTTTTAGGCGAAATCTACCTATTTTTAGTCGAATAATCTGAATCTGCAATAAAAATAGGGCGTTGCATTGGAAATTTTAAAGTTACCCCATGCCCTCCCTATGGGGAATAATTTTGGTACCGTAAACACGGGTGACTTTGCACCCCGCGGGTGACTTTAGCCCTTTAATAAAAAAAAAATTTGCGCTCGATAAAATTAACATTTATAATTTGTCATTTGTCATAATGTCAATTGAGCGATTCTATTGAGTTTATATTACAGAAAAATCAGTGTTTTAAAAAAATAAATGGGATTTATTACACTTTAAAGTTGTATATATTGCATTAGTGCAAAACTCTTAAAAATACACGCGTTTCAATTTCTATATTCTTTGGAATGATGATCCTTGGTTAACTACAAGTCGATTTTTTATTGTTTTTATCGGTAATCCCTTGCAATTGCTATATGTCGCTAACATATGTCTAATAAAAATAAAATAAAATATTGAGTTAATTTTATACGGAAAATACACTGTGAGACAAAGTAACCAGCAACCAGGGGGTAACTTTGCACACCCTGTTTTTAATTTTTATTTTTGAAACTCAGCCCTATGTAATAACATAGTTATTATGAAAGAGCAACTCAAGACTCAAATTTTGGTATATTTAATGTTTATGATTGTTAAAACTACAAAAATGTTAAGATTAAGTTTGAAAGTGAGCTAAAGCCACCCGTGTTTACGGTACTAATTTATTTCCCCCTCAAAATATTTAATTTTTATTTTAAAATTTTTTTGGTAAAATGCCTATTTACTGAGATATTTCAAAGTTTTCAAAGTTAAAAGTATACATCACTTTGATTTAGAAGATTTATAATTAATATCACAATTTCTGGAACTTTTGGACTTCATTACTTGTTATCCACCAGATATGACCCTGCGTGACTTTTTTGTTCCCAAAAATAAAGCGCATTGCTGAAAGAGCTAAAAGCTATCCCAAAGATTGAGTACACTGATAAAAAGGATTTCTTCGATATAGAATTTTATTTTTCTTAAACATATTTACTTGAATAAAGTTAATGTCACAAATGTTTTAGGACGAGAATGTTCAATTTCTTTTAAATAGTAAATATACTTAATTCATGAAAAAACTCTTGGTTCAAGAATTTTTCTTCATTGAAGAAACGCATTGCGTTTATTCAAGTAAAATGTTTCTTATTTTCTAAAAATTACCCTTTTCTTGGGACAAGAAAATCAGAGCTTGTACATTTTACTTAAAGAATATTTAAATTTATTATTCTTGCATTAAAAAAATCTGATCGTTTGACTTTTCGTTTCAAGAATAATTATTATATAATTTCTTGTATCTACGAACTGTCCTTGGGGAGGGGATAAACTCGTACCCCCCAACACCCTCATTTGAAAAGTAAGCGAGCTTGTGTTTAAATGTTTAAAAATGAGTGATTATTCGAACGATTACAGTGCCGTAGATATTAAGTCTTTATACCGTCAAAAATTGTGAAAGTAAAGCAGTTTTTGAGATATAGTCAATTTCATATTAAATGAAAATTTGTTGTTGTGTTAAATTTTGGAATACCATGGTATTCCATGATTAACCATGGTACAAGTGAAAAAGCAGCCACTAATAACTATTAATTCATTTTTGATCAATTCATTTTTAGAGATTACTTTTTTTGACACATATACATTTTTATTTATTTGTAAATAAAATTTATCTTTGTGTCAAAAAAGTTGAAAATTGTTTACCCCCCCTTCTGCTTCTTAAAAGTCCCGAATGTAGCTTAACTATTAACTATGTTGAAGAAAATTTCAAATACTTTTTTGAAGAAATACTTGCCTTAAATAATATAAATATTATCTTTAACCAAGAATACATTTTATTAACGCAAGACAGAAAAATGAAAAAATCTTTCTATAGAGAAAAGCACGGTTTCATTGAAGAATTCTTCTGATTAATGCGAAGAATAATGTCTTGAATGAAGAATAATTACTACTCCACCAAAACTCAATTATTTTTATCTCTTTTTCTTCAAGTAATTTTATTTTTTACTTAAGAATATTTATTCTTGACCCAAAATGTGCCAATTTTAATATCAAGAGTTTTTATCCTTCGTTTAAGACTGCTTATATTCTTAAAAAGGAGAAAATATATTCTCCGAGGAAAACATGTAACACAAGAATAATTTTTACTGCTGGCGAAGAGATAGGAATCATTTAGTATCTTGAATGAAGTTAATTTAACTTGGCTGAAGAAATCCTTTTTACAGTGCACTGCAGTGTACCAAAAGTTTTTCGGGAAATGGGTTAATAACCCTTCAACATTTTTTACATACAATTTGTACAACTTTATAATTTGTTTTCAGGCGAATATTTTGTTGTGGGTGTTGATATAGAGCAATACGACAACGAAAACCCAAAAAAATACCTTCATGGCTTGCTGAAGGACGACGTGGATCCAGTTGCGGAAAAAGCTTATCGCAGTTACCTGGGAGTGGTACCGTCGAGTCCAGTAGGCTTCTTAAACTTTACTAATTTAGTGAACTCGTACATGGAGAAGCCTCCGTTCAACTTTCCCAATCCCTTGACGTACTTTGGTGGTGCCAAAAGGGTAATTTGTTATTATTTTTAATTAGAACGGCAAAAACAATTTGTAAAATTATATTTAATAAATAATAAAAAAATATTTTGTTCCAGATTAGAGCAGAAGCGGCGTATTTGTACGATGCAGTCCACGTCTACGCCAATGCTCTGATGAAAGTTTTAAAAAACGATGAAGATCCAAAAAATGGATCTGCAATTATTGAATACATGAAAGAAACGCATTATCAAAGTGCCATGGGGTAAGTTTATTAAATTTATTTAATTATTATTTATTCATTAACGTGGAATCCGTACTTGGCCATGATAAAAGTCAAAGGTCAAAATTAAATAATCTCATCAAGACCTGCTAAAAATATTGTAATTAATTATTTTTTCTTTTACGCATTATATAAATTATTCAACGAAATTAATATTTTAACGTCATTGGAACCGCGTTTCTGTGAATAATAATTTTAAGGGACAAACTCAATGAAGTGATTTAAACTGGAATATTTAGTAATTTGAATAGAAACATGTTAATTGACCATGTTTTGGTCCATGTTGTTTTGTTAATGATGCAAATTGATGTTCATAATAAATTTAACTCCACCAATTACTATAAAACCTGTTATTATGTTACAATTAAAATAATTGCACATGTGCAGTTTTAAACAGTTAAAAACTTATTGAGATATTATATTGGGATAATCGAATTAGTTTTGCTAGATTAGCTCTGTCAAGTTAAATAGGTATTAACTACATTTGGGGTTGTTAATCTAATTTCTAAACTGTCGATAGTTTTGATGTATTATATAAAGTTTAAACCTAATGGTGCGTTTCACGAAATATTACAAGAACAATTTACAAGGTAAAATAAGCTGTCTTTAAAAAACTTGAATATAACCTATTTCGTTGAAAGTTAAAACCTTTTCACACTGTTATATAAATCAAATTAACATAAGTTTGTATTTTGTTAATTTTATTTAAACCTTATTTAATTTTTAAATCTAAAACAAATACTTTAAAAATAGGGTCCTTTTTAAAAATTACAAGAATTATGGTTAAATTATTGATGTAGAATTTTTTTATTGAATCTTTAAAACGTTTGTTATATTTACAAACTACTTATATAATTAGTAAACTTAACATAAAGCTATGTGGACATGAATTAACAAAAAATCTTAATTGGTTAAAATTAACAAATATTTTTTTTATTTTGTATTTGGCAGTAAAGTAGTCAACAATCGGCAGTAAAGTAAAAGAAATCGACAGTAAAGTAGAACTTTACTGCCGATTTAATACAAGTATTGTATGCAACCCATTACACATTTTAAGATGTGTTTACTGCTCCTCAGCAGCAACTAAATAATATTTAAAAAAAAAAGCAGCGTCGTGGAGGTCGATTGGACTCTTTCATAAAATGTTAATGAAGTTAATTTTATTAATTAAATTAAAAAATCGCCGCGGCGGGCAAATATATAACAAACGTTGCAACAAACAGTATATGTAGACACTTCATGAAGTATGCATACATTCAAATGACATTGGTTTGATCATAAAATGACATTTGATTTAATCATATATTATATCACGAGAACTATGAATTTAATCGGTTAAACTAGGCTCAGTAGTATTTTGCATGAAACTATTTCCAAAAAGAAAAATCAAATAAAAAACTTACTGAGCATAGTTTGACAGATTAAATTTATAGGTTGAGTGATATACGTCTAGATTATTTCTCGAATTAAAGGAAACTATTTGACAATTCATAAAATCTGACGTATGTGTCAAAATTTATAAATATTTTTTTAAAGAAAATTCCATTAATTTAAGGTATGTAATAAGTAATAATTGATATTTCGTAAACTAGATAACTTATTTTTTATTGTTTTTTTAAAAAAGTTTGTTAAAACTTGTAAATAACACCATAAAATCGTAAACAAAAATCCAATATGGAGGCTAAAATTTAATCGCTGTTAAAATTTAATCATATATTATATCACGAGAACTATGAATTTAATCGGTTAAACTAGGCTCAGGTAGTTTTTTGTTTGGTTTTTGTTGGAAAATGTTGAATGCAAAATAATTTAATAAAATCACGAGACCGCGTAGCGGTCGAGGGGTTTTATTTTTAATTATTTTGCATGAAACTATTTTCCAAAAAGAAAAATCAAATAAAAAACTTACTGAGCATAGTTTGACAGATTAAATTTATAGGTTGAGTGATATACGTCTAGATTATTTCTCGAATTAAAGGAAACTATTTGACAATTCATAAAATCTGACGTATGTGTCAAAATTTATAAATATTTTTTTAAAGAAAATTCCATTAATTTATGGTATGTAATAAGTAATAATTGATAATTCGTAAACTAAATAACTTATTTTTCATTGTTTTCTAAAAAATGTTTGTTAAAACTTGTAAATAACACGATAAAATCGTAAACAAAAATCCAATATGGAGGCTAAAATTTAATCGCTGTTAAATAGTTCTAGTGATTTAATCGCTTATTTAAACGAAATTTATTCGAAAATTCAAGGCTTTTGATTGGTTCATATTATGAGGGAAATAATCATCAATTTTAATTATTAGTACCTATTATTAAATGTGATTTCGGATAAAATTTAATTTGCACCTCGGCATTAGAATCATTTTTATTACTCACGTAGTTATTATTATTAATAATTTCCACATTCGTGATAAAAAATACGCCTTTACTTCCTTGGTACATAAATAACTATTATTTTAATAAACCATAAAAATCAGTTAGGATTCCACAATTAAAAAAAAAATTGGCTTAGTTCTATTCCCATGCCTATTCCCTCCTAATTCTCCCTTCATTGTAATCATTACCACGTAGGTAATTTGTTAATTGCCCGACTAACGTCCAGCCGTTTGAACTGAAATGGGTAGGTAATCGAATAATCCCATTTATAAATGCCGAACGTAAGGTAGCAATTAAATCTATTGGAGGATAAGTTGGTCAATTCGTTTTCAGTTATATGGTCTACATGGACGAGAATTGCGATGCCGAAGGAAACTACACGTTGGTCGCTCGTAAGCGGTCGTCGGAGGAAGAAGATTCAGGCAGCTTTGGAAGCAGAGAAAATTCCGAAGGAAAGTACGGACTCTATCCGGTCGGAGTGTTCGCTCTACGAAGAACCGACTCCAGATTGCCCGTAAGTTTTTTGAACCATCTGACAAAAGCAACACATATCATTCTATATTATATATTATATAAAAACCCTGCCTTTACATATCTTGCAATTACAATTCCCCTTTGCCAACCTGGAATCCAGCATTTTTGCTTCCAAAAACCATTACCAAAGTGGTGATAACTTTAAATTAGTTAAGTATACTAAACAGCTATTTTAATTTTTACTTAAAAGTAATTCTAACTTTTAAATAGCAATATTTTGTAACAGAAACTTCATTCTTTCCTTAAATGGTTACTATAAAGTAATAAACGTTTAAGTAAAACTTGCAGACTTTGCAACTTTAAAAAAGGTGTTATAAGTAAAAAAAAAGTTCAAGTAAATTTAATTTGTAGCACTTACTTTCGGTTTCTACCTAAATATTACATTATAATTATTTTTACTTTGTAGTCCCTTTGCAAGTTAAAATCTCGAAACTACAAAGTTAATAACTTAAAAGTTATTATTTTAGTATTTGGAACGTTTATGGTACTAACCAAAACTACCGTAAAGTAAATTAAGGTGGAAAAAAACTTTAAAGTAGCGAAAACTACTTAAGGTAGTTGTCGTGGTACAATATAGTCAAAAAATTTTAGATTATACGCACCGTAAAAGTATTCGAGCTTGTAGCTAAGTGATTCATAATTTTTTCGCAAGACTGTACCCTGGAGACGTTACCTTTACGTAATAATTTCAAGTTTTAATCCGGCAACGTCGCTTATGCTCAACCAATAGATATATTGGAGACTAAATCAGTTTGTTTGAATTTACTGCGGAAATTATATCTATACTCGCGTACAGCGTTGCCAAGTTGTTTTTATCTGACACTAGTGATGTATACTTTTTACAAATTATTGAACTTTAAACGGTTATTTATAAACCATTGGACGGTCAAAAATTTTTAATTATTTCTTTTAAAATTAGCAAAAATTCATTAAAAGACTGTTAGTTTTTTGAAAGCTTCTGACAGTTAGTTTTTTTTTATAACCAATAAACTGGTACAGAACTACAGAAAGCGTATACAATCCATGTTAATTATCCAATTTTTAATTGAATTTATCTCGAGTTATAGACGGTCAATCGACTTCAAATTTTAAGGATAATTGTATTGTCATGTCCTTAATAAGTATACAAAAAATTTAAAATTTTCTGATGGTATGCTTACAGCACGACAACTACCTTAAAAGGAAAATGCTTATCGGCCATTTTTTACTGTACAGTACCACGTGGTAAATAATAAATTATTTTAATTGTTTGGAAATGATTGTTTACTTTTTAATAAATAGTAATTTTGTTGGTAATAGACGGTATTAATAATCGAATAAAAAATTAATAATAAATATTTAGATTTTTTTATTTATAAACATTATTAAATAAATAATTTGTTTATACTTAAATAATGATGAAGCGCATTAATTTTACAAAAACCAAATTCATAAGTTCAACAGTAAAATTTAAAGGGTTTATAAATTAACTTGCCTAATTAAACATTATATTTTTATTCTGAAAGTTAATAAACTACCAGTACCTATATATTTAATAAACGATGACATTAAAAAGCTACGTCCGCAGTGGTTCCATTTCAAAAAGAAGGGATAGTATAATCTAATATAAGTTTGAAAAAGTTAATATAGAAGTAAAAACAAATAAATAAAAGTAATTTTAACGCTCTAGCAACGATATTGAAACGTTCTAGTAACGTAGCAGCTGCGTTCCAAATGGTAGCAGGGTTTATAGCTAGTGACATATTTGCTACCTTTTTGGAACTCAATAATTGTTCCCCACTTTAGTCGTAACTTAGTAATGAAAGAGTAATATATTACTCTTATATATAAAGAGACCGGCGACTGTCGCAAAACACTTTAAAGTTTCTTCAATAGTCCCATATACGTAACAAATACTTAAATTGTTGCTTGGGATACCTAAATGGCTGTTAACATCCCTGAACGAATTCAGTCGGTTTTGTGAATATTTTATTTTTGACTTTGATTTAATATCCTTTCGGTGGCAGAATCGACAAGTAGATTTGGCGAATGGTATGCAATACAAGGAGTCCCATTATGCAAATTGCCTGCGAGCTATTCGGAAATCTGTTCGATGTAATACAAAACGCTGCATCGGGATAAACCACCTACTGCCAATTCTGTTTGTTTTTTTCTATCGAAATTGGATTGATTACTTGTAAGCGAGATGTTGACAATTGCCTAATTTGCTTTATAGTTTGAGTCCTATTTTTCAGGAAATAAAGTTTTAAGAAATGTATTTATAGTAAATTTAAAAGGAAACGACGTACACGTCATCGAAGACCTCATAATTTTGCGCACTGGTACCAATACTAAATGTATAAAACGAAGTCTGTAATTGAATATTTTAATGCATTTTAACCAAATTAAGTTGGCAGCAACTGCAATGTTGTCATGTTTAGATTAAAATTTTGCTTAATAAAATTACGCATGAAAAAATAAATTGACGTTTTAGAATTTCGAAGCTGTCAGTTGTGTTTTTGAATATTTCGTTTAATTCGTGTATAATTTCGTTTATTTTGTTTGTGTTTGTGTTATTTTATATCGTTTAAGTTTTGATTGCCGTTTTTGTGTTTGTTATATATCGTTTTTTTGTTTTTCCTATATTTAAAATGCCGAAGCATTTAAATAGTCGGAGTTAAGAGTTGATATCATCCTTAATACGCTATTTTGAGACAGAACGGGATAATAATGGGCCTTTGTCACCTTTAACAGTTGTTAGAGAGGTAAATAAGATTATTATTAATTATATAAGTATTAGAATATTTAACAAAATATATGTTAGATACATAAAATAATTATATATATACCAGAGACTTACTTTGAGGTTATAAAACTCTGACTTTTACATTTTGGTATTCTAAGGTCCCAAATCTATGGACCCTATGGTATTATTCATGTAAACGCCATCTATTGCCCTGTAGTTGCACTACCACTTTCACTTGATGCAATGATTTTAGCATCACATTGACAACCGATCAGCTGATTCATGACGTGTACGTCGTTTCCTTTTAAACTATACTATACATTGGCATCTGAGTAGAAATTTGCCAAGTGAGCCCAAATAAATATTAGGTATTTAATAATCTGTTGAGTGGTGGAAAGTTTCCATTTTTTTTCGAAAAATACTTATTTTGTTATTTACAATGTACAGTATGATTCAAAAAATCTGTAGCATTTCATTTAAAAATTAATTTCTTGTAAATTATTTACAAAAATTTAAAAAAAATTTGTGAGAATGGTAAAAAATAAATGCAATTAACAATAAAAAATTTCAAAAACCTGCTATTATATTTTTATCTACTTTTTTTTTCTTTTTTAATAAAAAAAAATGCTAATTTGACCCTGTTCTGCCTACTAAAATTGAAAAAATAATAGGGGAAAGAAGCTCTAAAAGCTTAAGATTAAGGCCACTGTCTAAGCGTCAAGTTAACAGGCGCTTCTTTGCGTACTAAATATTTAATTTAATGCCGTGACAAAAAAATATTGAAAATGTCTTTAAACATTCTTAATTTAAACTTTATTGTTAATTTTTTGCCGTTTTTTTATTTTTAACCAAAATTGTGTATTTTTACATTGATCCACTCGTGTGACTCAAAACTTTTTTGCCTTATCAATTTTGCGCTATCAAAATTGCTTTACCAAAAACTTTTATCGAAAAGCGATACTATTTTAATGCACGTTATAAGTGACATTAGTATAAGAAATTTTTAATACCTATTAGGTACACTGATTTTTTATCATCTATAGGTTGGTAGCAATAGAAGGAATTTTTTATTATCAAAACGTGCCCCAACGATCTCTCTTGAATTTTATGTTTTTGCATTAATTATTAATAAAAAACTCTTTAAGGTTTTAAAAAATAATAATATTGGATTATACCCTTTTCCTCCAATTTTGTCGATAAAAAATTGACATAATTTGTAATTTTAGCTTTAAATAAAATAATTGCATTTTATTTTAGGAATTATTTTAATAGCTTAAATTTTTACTGAGGCATTTGATGAAAAATACTATGATCGCTCTAAATTTGTTCAATACTGTATAGTACCACAAACAAATGACTCACGACGCACTATGTGCAAAAACCAGAGTTTTGCGGAAAAAATTTAATTACTTTTTTATTACATATAAATATTAATTTTTTAATGTGTTAAATAGGAGTTATTACGAATAATTAACTATATTTTAATCAAAAATTTAGATAAGACTGTTGCAGAAATAATTCACAAACTTTTTTATTAAAAATAAATATCATTTTTTTTCTTTTTTACTGTATTACATAATTATCACGTATAATTAACTATATTTCAATTAAAAAACATAAAGGTTTTTAATTTTTAAATGAGTTTTTAGATGTTCATTACGTATAATTAACTATATTTTAATCGAAAAAAATAACGGTTCTTATTTTTAAAATGCGTTTTGGTCCTAGATCATCAATTGAAAAAATAATCAAAAAACTTTTTTATTGCAAAGAAATATTTATTTTTAAATGCCTTTTTAGATGTTCGCGGTGAAACGATTGCGAAAATAATTCAATAACTTTTTTTTTGTAAATAAATACATATTCTCTTTTCAACCATTCTTCATTTTTAATTTTAAAGTTATTTAAACACCGATGTTGTAACAACCACTTTATCTTAAACTTATATCATAATGTTAATTTTTTCCAACAAGTGTGAATTGATTTTCATCCAAATTTGTAAAAATTCTCTTTTAGAAAATGGACATTCGTATTTGTCACTATTTAAAAAAAGAAACGCAAAAAGTAATACTCATTTTAAAAAATCACAATAGTCTAAGTTAAATTTGCTTTCGCTATATATGTAAAATATTATTACCTTATAAATGAGCAAATAATGTTTTACCTAATAGTTTTTACCTTTAAAGATGCAAAACAAGGGATTATTAATTAATTTATAAAAAAATTCCTTTAAGATACGTACAAAGCTAAGGATT